TGATGCCTCTTAGCACAGAGCAGCTTTCCTGGAGACTTTAACTTGTGCAAGAGCTGCCACACAGAATGCAGAAAAGGAAGCTTAAATTGTTTTTCAGGAAGAAAATCAATCAGAGCAAGTGTTTTTGGCTAAATCTGGTCTCAGTCTCCTGAGTCAGCTTTCCCAAACCTGTTGGGTGTTTGCTGATGAATTATTGTAGTGATGAGAACACAGTTGACACAGAGGCCAAAGGGCATTTATGGATGGAGGCTCCTGTTTCAGAAAACATCTTCAAATCCTACGAATCCTTTTATTCAGGCAGAGAAGGACCAAGACTTCCCTTTTGTGGAGCTACTGAGGAAGCTGTGCTTTGGGAAAGGTGGGAAGTGGTTCAGCACAGGGGTTTACCACATCCCTCCAGTCTGTGGACAGTGGATTTTGAAGCTGTTTGTGTTGGAGATGTTTTCTGGCCATTGTGTGTTTTTTTGGGAATGCTTAAGGGAGAGCAGAAAGAAGCTGAGGAAGAAGCTCTTTCTCTGTAGACCCTGACAGTACACACAGGGCTGGTGTCCAGAGAGAAATGCCCAGATCCACAAAGTATGTTTGGAATTCCTTAGAGGATTCTCCCAGCAGAGCTCTGCAGCACCTGAGGATTTCTGGGGAGATCAGAGCTGGCAGGGCCTGGTTTCCAGTATGCCCTGTTTGCTTTGCTACTTAAAATTTTCCCAAGTTAGAGTAGTACAAGGTCCTCTTTTTCTGAAGAACCCCAATGCCTGTATCACATTTTGCTCCCCAATTTCTGGTCTCTAATGTGATATGTAGCATCACTTTTCAGGTGGGGCCAGTTTGGGGATTGTCACACACCTCCCACAGTCCCAACAACCTTTATTCTCCTTGACCTGTGATCTATCACAGGCATGTGCTGAGAGCTGATTCCTATCTCTCGTCAGGTGGATCAGTTATTGCTCCGTAACTGGCTCAAGCCATGGGGTTGGAGATGTTGGATTTCTTTGATAAGGTACCAAAGTGACATTCTGATATCTGAACCAAAGCAGAGTCAAAGCACTGAGTAAATGCTTTTCCCATCTCCCCCCATGGTAGTCTCCCAAATCCCAGAAGAAACAACTTATTTCTATTACTCAGACACTTTCTAGCAGGAATTATCTGCCTGAGCAGAAGATAGTTTGCTTTCTTTGTGTTTCTTAGGCTCTTGCTATGACTTGCTCTCTAGAGAGAAAAGTATAAAACTCCTTCCAGGTGACATTTGCAGAAAAAAAAAAAAAATCAATTGTTTATCAACATCCCAGCAATCAATAAATGCAGTGATAGGTGCAACTGCCTCTCTCAGAGCTGAACCTTGATTGCTAAGGAGGCAGATTTGCTGCTAAAGCCACCTGGGCCTGAGGCTTGGCTGTATCTGTGGGGCCAAAGCCTGGAGCTGATCCTTGGAAGATCGGAGAGTTGCCTGGTGCTGTCCTGAGCCCTTTGGAAGATCAGAGAGTTGCCTGGTGCTGTCCTGAGCCCTTTCCCTCCTCAGGATAGTGCTGATTAGTGGTCTGTGCTCATTGTCTCTGCTCTATTGGGCTCTGCTGATTGAGAGGGCTCTGGAGATGTTCCCACAGGGGTTTGGGCTCTGGGTACTTCTACACCAAGACACAGTGCAGAGATGAACCACAGGGCGAGGTGTTTGTCCTCACCCCTGTTTTGAAGTCTTAATTGTCTGTTTGTCCACCTTCAGCAAGCCCCTGGACTCCCCTCTCTCTTTCTGAAGAACCCCAATGCCTGTAGTACGTGTTGTTCCCTGATTCCCTTGGCATCCTGAGCTTGCTGCTGGAAGTGGGCATGGAACACTTCCAAGGCTGTGGGTATTGACGAACTTGCTTCCAACCGCACTGGTGAAAAGGCCAGACTGGACAGGGCTTGGAGCAACCTGAGCTAGTGGAAGGTGTCCCTGCCCATGGCAGTGGGTGGGACTGGATAGGCTTTAAGGTCCCTTCCAACCCAAGCCTATCCATGATTCTGTGGTTGGCATCTCCAGACATCCATCTTCTTCCTCCCTCTCCCCAGATGGTGCTGCTCCCTCTGCCTGGGACACCTGCAGGATTGAAGGTGTTACTTGAGTCCCATTAAATGAGGCAACTTGAAGATGTCCCTGTTTGCACAGGCTTCCTGAGCCTGAGCTTTCCCAGAGCCAGAGTTTTTCCAGAGCTCAAGGAGCATTTGGACAATGGTCTTGGGTACAGGGTGGGATTATTGGGGTGTCTGATTATTGGCAGGGCCTGGAGTTGCACTGGATGATCCCTGTGGGCTCCTTCTGATTCACGAGATTCCATGATCTAACTTTGAGGTCTCCACGTGGCCCAGACACCCCCTCCCAAAGAAACAGGGTAGGAATGGAAGAGTTAACACCAGCAGCTCCCAGGCACGCTGGAGAGTTACATCATGTTGCTGTGGAAACTAACTTTGTGAAACCACAGTGATGTATGGGAAAGCTTTGGGTCAGCGGGTAATAAATTCTGTTTAAAAAGTGATTTTTTCCCCATCTGCTGATGTAAACATCATTAGGAGAAATGACGGTTGAGAGATGGATTTCTTTTTCTATCAATTTTCAGACAAAGGAAATAATTTTGGGTGTGTGGGGTTGGTTTTTTTTATATAACAAAAAAGTTGCTGGAAATCAGAGAGTACTATAAATAATGAAATAAAGAAAAAGCATTGGTGATGGAACAGAAATTTTCCCTGGTGATTGGTTTACAGCTTCCTGTGATTTAATGGGAACGTGCAGTTGCCTGTGGGAAGCTGCACAAACCCTGGATGGGCTCTGTAAGCTGATGCTTTGTAAACTGTAGCACAAATCTCAAACTTTGAGGGCTCCAGAGCATCCTTGGCCTACAAGTTTTATCTCATCTGCATTTTCCTGGCCTGCCTGTTTTCAGTGAGGGGTAAGTTCCCAACCTGCCACATCACCTTTGGGATTCTCACTGAGGTGTGGGGGCTTTTTGAGGTTGTTTTTGACCCTTTGGGACCCAGGAGGGTCTGGAGGGATGCAGCAAAACTCTCTCAGTTTGCCCAAAACAGTGTGACAGTCCCAGCTAACAGCAAGTGTGCCACTGGAAATGCAGACAAAGGTGTCACCATGATTAATGGGGTAATTAATAAGCAATTAATGTGCTTCATGGCATGGCTGTAGCTTTTCTCCCAGCCTTCCACTCAGCACTGATCCACTTTCTCTGACAATCAGAGCTCAGAGGGCTGTTGGAGATGATCCTTCCAGACCTTCTCCTTGGTGCCACCAAGAGCATCCAGTGCAGCTCTGCCTTGGCAGGGCAGGGTGTCTGCTTTGGAGGGAAATGAAGGAAATCTGAGGGTGTTGTTTCACCAACTGATGGGATTTAAAGTGATTCAGTGGATTGTTCTAGAAATGAGTGCTCTGAAATATCCTCCTTTGGCAGCTTCTCCATTCACATCCCCAAGCTGTCTGAAAGTTGGCCCATGTGCAGATACCCCACCTGGCATCACAGATTCCCATTTCCCTGACCTACAGTGTTATTCCAAACTCATCCTTCTGCCTCTTTCCTCTCCTGGCTCAGCCTGCGTTTTTCCATGCCCTCCAACACCCCCCCAGTTCTCCATCAAACCTGGGTGGGTTCTCTCAGCTATGTTGAAGCCCATCCAGGTGTTAGGCTGAGTTTAGAGCTGAGCAAGAAGAGCATTTCCCATTATGGAGTTTAATTTAAGTGTACTTTTTGTTTTGAAATGTCCCTGTGAAACCATTAAAAATTGTTTACATATTTTCAGTCGATTCTGGCATTTCAAAGCAATTGGAGTATAAGAGAAACTTCCAAGTGAAAAACTGTTTTAGAATTAAAATCAAGGTATTCTATGCCCTCAAAATAATGAAACATGATGTTTTGATGTTGTCAAAACACTCGGGTCATTGTTTTGTTTAGAAACAAGGCTGGGTTGGTAGTGACAGGCCCAAGTGAGTTGTTTCCTTTTGCAAGAAGTCAACATTCCCATGGAAAATCCCCACGGAGCTCAGAGAGGAGCAGCCAAACCTCACTCACTTGTGTAATACCATCCCTTTCACTCTTCAGCCTCAAGGCTTGTGCTCGAGGAGGAATCCCAAAAGTTCATAATTAATTTGTGTAGCTAATTCATGGATGGAGTGGGAATAGGATCGTAAAACAGTAATAATCCTCAGTGTTTGTGAGTGATGGAGTGGCCACCGAGGGCACCCATGGTTTGCTGAGGAACACGAGTGTCTTAGAGGACATGGATGTTATAATGCAGTGTAACAAAATAAATGGCTGTGGTAACAAAGGGCGACCAGGTCAAAAACAGGCAGAAGATTCCACAGCTCGGGAGATTTTGCGCTTTGTCCTAGACTAATGGAAATGTGAGGAGAAACCTCCCTTTTAGAAAGCAAAGGAGAGGAAAAGGGATGTGAGGGATTGCAAGAAACCCCATCCCCCGAAGACCAGCACAGGTGTGTCCTTTGAGCTTGGTGTTTTGGGATCTGAAGGGATTTAGGTTGTCTCTGTTTATGAAGACCAGGTCCACCCCTGGGGAGCTGCCTGTGCACCACTCCAATGGCTGATCCTTGGCATTCCCCAACCCTCCAGGAGAGATTCTGGCTCAGGAAAATGCTCCTCCCAAGTGCTCAATTTGCTGCAGGCTGCACATGGGCACCGGTGTGGAGAGCAGGATGGCTCAGGACCATGGTGCTGCTCTTGCACGGGATTGGGGTGGCTTCTTCCTCGTGGCATCTCTGTTTGCACCTCCAATAGTGAGGTTATCCCCATGCCCCAGGAGGTTCTCCCCTGACTGCCTGCACTTTTAAGTGCATCCATAGTTTTCTCCAGCCCAGCCTGGCATGTGGATATTTGAGAGCCCACTGCATCTCTGCCAGCACAGCTTGTCTGCTGTAACCAACCCAGTCGTGGCATCATTTACTGCTCCTCCAATATTTGTGTCAACTATGATCTTTCCTGGCAGCAAACTCATGTTTTCTCTTCCAGATCCTGGAGAAAAACGTCCAGCAGTCCCCAGCTGAGAGCAGAGCTTTCCCTGCACAGCCCTGGTGGATAAGAAGCTCAACAAGACCTGGGACCCAGAAACCCCCCGTGTGCTGGGCTGAGTCCAGAGAAGTGTGGGCAGCAGATGAGGGGGGACTGTTCCCCTCTGCCCTACTTAGGTGAGACCCCCCTGCAGAGCTGCCTCCAGCCCTAGGGAACAACATCAGGAGGACATGGAGCAAGTCCAGAGGTGGCCATGGAGATGCTCCAAGGACTGGAGCCCCTCTGCTCTGGAGACAGGCTGGGAGAGCTGGAGACCTTAGAACCCCTTTAGTGCCTAAAGGGGCTCCAGGAGAGCTGGAGAGGGACTGGAGATAAGGGCCTGGAGTAAGAGGGCAAGGGGGAATGGCTTCCCACTGCCAGAGGGCAGGCTTAGATGGGATATTTGGGAGAAATTCTTCCCTATGAGGGTGGGGAGGCCCTTGCACAGGTTGCCCAGAGAAGCTGTGGCTGCCCCATCCCTGGAAGTGTCCAAGGCCAGGTTGGACGGGGCTTGGAGCAACCTGGGCTAGTGAAAGGAGTCCCTGCCCATGGCAGGGAGATTGGAACTGGATGAGCTTTAAGATCCCTTCCAACCCAAACCATTCCATGATTCATTTTATGAACCCTCCCTTCACTCCTGGCTCCTCCAGAGTGAGATTTCCTCTGTTTTGGAAGGGTCAAGATTTCAAGGCAAGGCCCCCAGTTCATTCACCTCCGTTTTGTGCATCCAGCAGAATTCCAGGCTGGGTGCTGGGGAGATGGTGTGAGCTGTGGTTTTAGGATGTCAGCAGTGACAAGGGGGTGAATGATCTTTCTGTCAGTGCAGTGGAGGCCATCCTGCACTATCGATTTCTTTTTATTTGTTTTTTGTTTGTTTGTTTGTTTGTTTAGCAGAACACTCCATTCAAAGCAGTGTAAAGCACTCTTTAAATATTAATGCTTTTCCCCACTGATTTCCCTCTCTGCCCCCATCTCTTGTTTTACCTGGACTGCTGGACAGCTGGAGGATATTCCCACCAAATGATTAGCAGGTCCAGGATGGTGCATAAAACACTCAGCAGTGCCCCTTTACCGGGGAAGCAACTTGACTTTCATTGTCAGTGCTGAAAGCATCTACAAACAGAGATTTAGCATCAGCCTCCGGGCTTAAGACACAGCTGTTATATTTTCCTTTCTCCCTTTATCTGTTTTTTTCCCCTCTCCTTTGCACTAATGTAATGCTTATTTAGGAACTGCAGCCATCTGTGTCTGCTGTGGATGGCACTGTTAAATTTGCTATTGCTTTCTTTCCACTGGTTTGATGAGCCTCCCAGAGCACAGAGAATTTCCCAGGACAGCAAAGACTTCCTTTGATTGCTTTATTTTATTTTTGGTTTTGTGATAACCTCTGAAAGGGATGGCGTACACAGTGCTGGGAAAAGGTGGGCAGCTGGAGAGCTGAGGATCCTGCCTTGTGCTGAGTTAACAAGGTGAGTTTATGAAGAACCAGTCAGCAAAAAAGTTGATGAAATTAGAGGGGATCATGAATAAAAAGGGAGGGAAGGAGGAAGGGCTGGGACTGGAGCTCTTCCTGTTCCTCCCACCAGCTTGTGGTTGCTGGTGAGATGGATCATGCAGGAATTGGGGCAGTTGCAGAAATCCAGTGTCCAAGGCCAGGGAATGTTTTTTGTGGTTTTTTTTTTTTTTTTTTTCCTCCCTGGGTGGACAGGGAGCTATCCCAAACTGGAAGTCATGGCACAACAAAGGCTAGGTGTGGCACTGCCAGTAGGAACTCTGATGTTTCTGTTGGAGAGGCAGAAGTTGATTTCTTCTTGTTTTGTCCCCAAGTTGCCTTCAAATGGCTCGTGTTCACCCTGGTGAGGAAGGGTAAATTTTAACAATATCTGCAAAAAGAATGAAAAATATCTCTCTTTTGGCCAAACCTTGTAGAGAGAGCTGCTCTGGATGGACTCCCCAGTCCTACAAGTTATTCACCTTTTAATCCACCTCTCTTTGATTTTGATTGGTGTTTTCTCTGTCAGCTGCTCCTTTAAACTCTGCTCCATGGGAACCATAACTCCTCTTTGCTCCTCTACCTCTTGGATTGCCCTCTGGATGGGAAGGTTAATAACAAGTTTATCTGAAAATACTTTTCCATCTTATGGAAAATAATGGGGCCCAGGAATTAGGTGGTGGAGGTGCTGCTTTATGGTCTAGAAGGGCTGAGATGGGTTGTATTTGACCATAAACCCTTTGGCTGCACCTCTTTGGGTAGCCCGGACTGTTCCATACTCCTCCTCCAAAGCATCATTCAGAATCCCTGAATACACTGAGCTGGAAAAGGACCCACGAGGACCATCCAGTCCAACCCTCAGCCCTGCACAGGCCCAGCCCCAGGAGTCACCACCTGTGCCCACTGCCCTGGGGAGCCTGTTCAGTGCCAACCACCCTCTGGGGGAAGAACCTTGTCCTGAGATCCAACCTGAGCCTGCCCTGACACAGCTCCAGCCATTTCCTGGGTGCTGTCCCTGGTTCCCCCAGAGCAGAGCTCAGTCCTGCCCCTCCTCTGCCCCTGCCCAGGCAGCTGGAACTGCAGTGAGGTCTCCCCTCAGTCTCCTCTTGTCCAGCCGACAACATCAAGTGCCCTGTGGCTGCAGGCTCTCTGAATTGACTTTGCCATCTCCCAGGATGGGATAAGGTGGTGTTCTGAATGGTGATAACTTGCCTGGTTCAAAGCCATGGCAGGGACTGCTGCAGGCATGAGATGGTGGAGCTGGTCAAATTCCAGATGTCAGGAAAGTCACTTTAGCTTTGCAGGATGCCTGAAGGTCCCCGTGTGCCTCAATTCACAGACACACAGGAAACACCTTAGCTGCTACTAAGACTGATACCTCTCCATCCTTCAAATCCAGGCAGGCAGGAGCACATGATCCTGCCTTGCCTGCTCAGAACCAGTCCCTGGGATGTGCCAGCATCCTGTGGAGCCATGGGCACGTTGGTCTCCCTGAGCTGGCAGTGAGGATTAGTACCTGCAGTGCTGAAGGCACCCCACCCTAGCTAACTCCTGAGGGCCTGGCAATATGGCTTTGCAGCTGTCAGCATGATGAATGGATGTTATGTTTTATTTGCTGCTTTATCACATACTAATTATGTATATGATAATTCTGAGTATCACCGTTTCTTTGGGCTCATTTGTTTTTCACTCTCTAGAGCCAGAACAGGGGGGCATTTCTATCTTCTCCACTCCCATTCTTGAAATTCTGCTTTAATTGCTTCTCTTTGACTCTTGCTTAAAGTTTCCTGCTCTGAAGGGGTCAGTGTATTGATCCTGCACTTTGATAAGGTCAGCAGAGATCAGCTGTGACATTTCCAAGCCATTTGCTCCTCCCCTAATGGGCTTAGTCATCAAAGAGTTTTACAGGGGACAGGGCAGGGGAGAGATTGAATTTAAACTCTTACATATGTTGATTTAGGCAGTCCTGGAAGGTTCTGAATAGAGGTGTCACTTGACAGGCTAAAGCATGTGATGTGCAGGTTATGAACCCTGTGTGTGGTACCGGCCATCGTAACCAATGTCGTGGAACCTCCACGTGACCCACCTTACTGGGGGACTGAGTGAGGTGGCACTGACTGATCCCAAAGGGCACAGAAAAAGGTGACCCCCACTCCTGGCACACCTACAAACCCTGGCTGTGCCTCCAGCCACAGCCAATGTGCCTCCAGCCACAGCCTCTGACAAAACAGAGGAAGGTGAGGAGATTAGGAAAAAGAAACAGCAGGCAACATCTGTCCAGCCAAATGAGCCTGGAGGAGGAGAATAAATAAATGAATTCCTTCCCAATGTCTGCAGCAACCAGCTGAGGTCTGGGGGAGTGAGATTGGACGACAGCAAGGGGCTTAATGAGGAGTCCAAGGCTGAGCAGCAGATTACACAGAATTTCCTGTTCTTGTCATGGCTGAGGGGACAAGGACGGGAGCAGGGGCATGGGGGGATGCCCTGCACTATCCAGTCCCACTGCCCTGAGCCTGGATCCTGTCTCCCAGGAGCTGGATTAAAGCCTGGTTGTCCCAAAGTTATCTCCTGCTGGGCCAGTGGTGTCAAAGGAGGAGGATCCACACCCTTGAGAGCTCCTCCAGTGTTCCCTTGCCCTCCCTGCTGGGAAATTGCACTGAATTTTGGGACTTACCTGACCTGAACTTCCAGGCATTGCATCTCATCGTGTAGCTGTCAAAACCCTTGGAAGTGCCCTGGGACCCAGGATGTTTCCATGCTGGAGGTATCTGGACATCTTGGGATCTATTAAGCAACTCTTCAACAAACTGAACAAGCTGAGCTGAGTGAGGAGTTTTTCCAGCCCTCAGCTGTGTTTCTGGAATCCTTTGGAATGCTCCCTGGAGCGTCCCCTCCCTGTGTGGACACCACAGATCTCCTGGGAAAGCTCTGAAAATGCAGAGCTATGGTGAGCTCTGCACAGGGGCTCTCTGAGCCTCTGTGTGAAATGTTGGAGGGGATTGGGTTTCTTTACATGGAGTCATGTAAATGTGGGTAAAAGAAGGAGAAAAATGGAAGGTAAGAGAGGGAGCAAATGCAAAGGGTCAGGAAAAACCCAGTTCCTGTCTCTGCTTGGCTGAATGTTCACTTACTCTGGCATCTTTAGTCCTGTAGCAGTGGTGCTTTCTGAGGTCATCTCTCACATCGTAAGTAGCTGCAATTTGTATTCCTACTTCCCAGAGGTGTTATCTTGCATTTGGTTGCATCAGACTTCATTTTCCCACAGTGCTGTACCCAGGCCCTGCAGATCAGGGTGAGCAGCTTGTGGTCAGGTGAGCACGTGTGGCTGAGCAGAGCAGAGCACCCCGTGTGCTCTGTTACCCTGTCCAACCACGGAGGGATGTTTATCCTCCTGAATCCGTGCTTGGGCACATGGATCAGGGGGCCCTCGACTGGGGTAGACCCTATTGACACCTGATAGGATGGGGTGAGAAAAATGTATTTAGTGGCTCTATAAGGGGCCATGAATCCTGCCCCTGGTATCTGATCTCATTTAACCTCAAGTGCAACCCGCCCTGTTCTTATCGTTACTTACTGTGTGACCTCCCTTTCTGCTGTCTATAAATGTTCCCAGCAAAGAGAATCACTCCAGCAAATGGTGGATAA